CTCGAATGTGGGCCTTCTTCAATCCTTCCATCTCAACAGGATTCTAGAAATATAATCCAGTCATTTAGAATCAACAATAAGATTTAGAGAAAGAACTAAATCACAAAACACACACTACATTTCCAAAATCCTAGTAAATTTGGCAACTTCTAAGAGACACTACCCAATGATATTGGTGGTCTGTTCCTACGCACTATAAGACAGATCCAAATTGGCATAGAGCCAAAAGAAGACTGAGAAATTAGGGGGTGAGGAGTAGGGCCTTAAAACAAACAGAAATGAAGGAAAATAACATAATTACTCCCAATAAATAGCAAGCAAAGGAGAACACAGTAACTACAAAACCATAAGTGATTTGATTTTGTAATTTAAAAATCATAATGGAATTGGTTTAGAAATCCTTACCAGCAAAATACGAAGCTGGTAAGAACGCAGCAAGCTCATATGAAAATCTTTGACACCAATAAATTTGATTACAACAAGAAAATAGGAGCCCTATTGAACTAAGCTTTGGTCAGTCATAAATTCCAAGGGAGTGCTTAAATACATTTGAAAAGGAATATTACGCGTAATTACTCGCATGGCACAAATAAATTTTCCCCAAAATGGTGATCTTTTACTCATTTGTCTGCATCTCTTATCGGAGGGAAATAAGAGAAAAGAACCAAGATGATCGTATTGTACTTCAAAAAGTAGGAAAACTTCTAAAGTGACTCTAGCTTAACGCGAAGTTTTCAGCCAAATTATAACTGGATTAGAATGCCAATCCAGGAAATCATAAAGGTCTATCATGTGCTCAACTACCATCAAGTGTCCTTAACTCAGCTTCAGTACAAAATGATGTGGCATATTGAGTGTACAAGATGCGATTTTTGGAAATATAAAATAACCCATTATTTGGCCGCCTTTAACTTAATCTTCGCCTACCTACTTTTAGCTTATATGCACTAAATTTGTATTTGGTTGCCCATGCATCGGTCAAGAGACTCCCTTTCCCTCTCCCTGTTTCTTAATTTTTTTCTCAGTGGAGTACTGATTCACTTGACCCAACAAGCACTCAACAAAGTCTGTGAAAACACCTATCAGACTTACAATCATCAAAAACTCAGACAACTTTTTTGGGGGTAAGAACATTCCTGGGTAGTATGAATCACCTTTAGGGCTTTCTCAAGGGCCAAAGGTGACTGCTTAAGGAGGACTTTATCAGCATTCAGTTTTGAGTACAAAGCAAAGCAGCATGCACAAGGGTCAACCCAAATGAGGTCATTCACAAACTCCGCAGATGGAATGGCACCATTTCCTGTAGCCTTGCCATCATTACTCTCTGTGTTCCTTGAAAATCCGGCTGGAGTTTTGTTAGATGAGGAAGCAGTGAGTTGATCAGACGCAAGCAAGACTGCATCTGAGCTAACTTCACCGTAATCCCGTACTAAAATTCCATTTTCCTTCATGTAAGAGTTTGCCTGGGACATTAACATGCTTACTTAAGAGAAGGAAATAAGGAGAATAGTATTGAACTTAAATCAAATGGTTACGCAGTGCAGATGCACCTCAGATGACAACTTTCTTTTATCCACATAGAAGAAGGCCGAGTCTAATGTCACAATAGCGAATGCATGAACAACCGGGCTATATGATACATCTGTGCCGCGGACATTATACAACCAGGCAACCTGCAAAATGAAATCATATTGAAGTAATAAAGAGTATATAAGACCAAATTCACCAAAACAGTAAGATGAATAAAAATTGGATTCAGGGGTTACAGATTTACTTCATCAAGTGCCGTTATTATCATAGCACGAGAGTTTTCCTTTACAAGCTTTTCTCTCAATTTTTTCAACTTATCTGCAACAGAGCGACCAGCAAATTCTAATGGATGCACGATCACAGGATTTGTTTCGGCAGGTGGCTGATTTTTCCAAACTTCGTCTACCAAGTTTTTAGGTGTTTGAACCAACTTTTGTTGTTTCTTAGCAAAAGCACGCTCCCACTTCTGTGCAGTATCTACTGATATACACCATGGATCAACACCAATAGCTGCATCCTTTGGTAGATTCTAGCATATATCACATAATCACATATGTTAACTCAAATTGAATATCAAAAAATTGCTACTCGTCTAACCAGAAATTTCAGCAAAAGATTCAAAGCACACTTTCATTATTTCAGGGGAGACAGCATAATTGAAGGGAAAATCTAGACAGGGGAACAAAGTTTTTGAAACGTTACAATTATTCCTGATCGCTAATGGGGTGAGAGAGAGCTTCCAGTAGTTAAGGCTTTAAGTTTTTATTTTGCATTCCTCTAATATGATCAATGATATACTAGATGTTTTGTTTCTTTTTTCTTATTTTATTTGATATAGATGTATTAAGTCTTTAGAATTTGCTTTATCCTTCCGTAATTTCATTTAACAACGACAAGACCAACAAGGCAACTGTACTTTTATGCACTAGACCTTGGTTCAATATCCGCTAAAACTTAGGAGTTAGTATCTTTCTCACCAACTCTAAAATAGGCTAATTTTGTGCTAGCTCTACTGCCTTCACAAAATGCAAACAGTTGCAAGAGACCATGAAGGAGTACTCACATCTGCCATCCAAATATCAACTGCAGGGTCTTCTCCCATACGCATGAGCTTCCACTGCTCACTAAGCTGCTGAGCTGCCTGCAAGAAGTAGCGTCCATCCGTCCACAGAAGTGCTTCGTTCATTGTTATGAGCGCTAGTCCTATCGCAGTAAACACAATATTTCAAGTAAGTTCTGTCCATCTTATACGATCCGGATACACACTAAGAATAGGCTATTACATCACAATCATGAATAGGATATCGAAGCAAATTGACAAGAAAAATTTAGCAGAATCATATATAAATTTAACTAAATCAAGTGATCGATCAATTTTTGATTTATAATTTATAAAAATAAAAAAGCCGGAGAAAAGAGGACAAACCAGCACTTCCGGTGAATCCAGACACAAAATCGCGCCTCTTGTCCCGTGCAGATACATATTCGCTCTGTCAAGTCACAAAACAAGGTATAGAAATTAGACCTAGAACACTTGAATAGAAAAAACAAAAACACAAAAACTTTGAAATCGAAATTGTTTGATTGATTGAAAATCGTGTGTTTTAATGCAGCAATAACTCAGAAAGCTAAATGGAAGGGAAGGAGAAACCTGATGATAATCTTCGGAAGGAACGAGCAAGGCATGGAGAGGAGGAGAGTGAGAAGACATTAAAGACCTCAGAGCAGCGAGAGTGTCTGCCATAGCTTTTTTCTGGGGAATCAAGCAGAGAGAGGAGAGTCGGGAGACTTGATATGTATATGGAGATCAATTGTATTTGTTCTCAATCCTGGCTCCTTATATTAGTTGGGAGGAACTACATGGTACAAGTCGAAAATATCAAACAAACTAAGATACGTATTTCAAAACAACTACAATTACCCTAATTCTAAATTAGCTAGAATAATTATGTCAACTCGCTATTTATTTCATCACTCCATTTGTGACATTTTCTATTCAAAGATTTAAAATCTAAGTTTATATATGAATTATGGTTTATACTGACATAAATATTTAAGAAATAGGCTCTCATCAAACAAATAGGGACTTGATATAATGTACCCATCTTAAGACTTAGTCCAATTATTTGATATTGCATATATAGATTTTTTTTACTTCCATTATATTTTATTTTTAATTAATTGCACAGAAATTTCAATAGATTGCATGTTTTTTGAGAAAAAGTAAATTTGATGAGATCCTATTAGCTTCCAGATAACACATACCTATATTACAAATATGAGTAACTCGTACGAATTCTTCAAAATAATGTACATTTAAACTTATCAAAAACATATTCATGTTCAAAAAATTTCTATTTGGTTTAACCGATAAATTGTCCGATAATCGTTAATCCGATACCAATCCGCCCGTTGTCTTATTGGATGGCTAGCGGATTATTACATTTATAATCCGATAACCGATAAGCCGAACCGTTAAGCGTAATTATTCGCCTGATAAGCACCCCCAGACACAAACAGCCTTCATACTCTCTTCTAAGGAAGGAATGGACTTCGGAGACATACTCTGCACTTAGAAACTTAGGCAGTATCACCAACTCACTAAGCCTAGGTTGATCTAATGCCAAATAGCTTCTGTAATACTTACTAGTTTAAAAGCCAAACTTGTCGCGTACATTTCTTTCAAAACGTAGACTTGCATATTGTATAATTATTTCAATGATTGTCTTAATTGTACAATGTTATGTTACTTGAGAGAAAGCTTCTGAATCTGGTAATTGTATGGCTATGCTGCGTTTCTACGTTTTTTGGCTCATTGACTCTTTGATCGGTTTCTAGTTTCTACCAACAACTGAACTGAGTTGTGTTCAGTTCCTAAAACTGCTGTTTCCTTTTTCTTTCCGTTTTGTTCCAATCATAAAATATAAAGTTCCATTTCCCACTAAGAACTTGGCGTAGCAATGCCAACTTGAAATCTGCCATAAGGAAAATTGATGCACACTTTCACAAGTCACAACAGCACAGAGTTGCAGCTCTTTAGTAGCTGGAAAATCTCTAGGTTGCTACTAAGTCGATAAGCACCACTAACTTCCTTCACTGTCCATGTAACCCCTAAAGGAAACGCACGTAAGGAGAAGACCAAACGATGATAATAATTTTCTTTCTCAATAATGCTAGTGTTTAGAACAGCTTGTACACCTAGATTATTTCGTCAGGTATCTGTCATCTCCCACCAGCACAGGATGACTACCCACCAATGACAATAATGAAGATAAGATGATCGAAAATAAGGCTGGAAAAGCTAGGAAAAAGACTAGTCAGGACCGAAATTGGAATGTTCACCAAGGGAAGCCAGATTATACGGTTTCCAGCTAAAACAAAAGATGTTTCACCTATAGAGTATAACAGCCAGATAAGCAAAAAGAAACGAAAAAGGGAGAGGGGGGAAAAGAAACAAGCATCCCTGGGAGTTGTACAACAAATCTGAAAGTCCATATATCAATGAATATTTTTAATAATACAACAATGCTTAGGAAAGAGATATCAAAACCATGTACAGATTTTTACACAAGAACAAAGGTTGACAAGGAAATGTAGAATATGCAAACATTGATACCAAAGGGGTAAGGGAAGGGGCGTGGAGGAGAGGATTATGAATAATGTAATATATGTATTCAAGATAATAAGCATCTTCATGTCCAATCAGAAGATGTGAACTGCAAAAACCAATGAAATGGAGGTGAAATCAATCTATCAACGAAAAAATATAATGAATATTTTGATTTGGATATAAACATAAGATTTTGAGACAATTTCATCAACCCTGAAGCTTTTTGACTACTGCAGCCATATATTTGCCCTGGTGTTCAGCAAGCGCCAACTCCGTTTCACTAGCTTCTCTTGTGCCATCACCAGCAAAGACTCCAGCACCATACGGAGTACCCCCTCGGATGGAGTCCATTTTGAACATACCAGCTCCAAAAGTGTATCCAATTGGAACAAACAGCATACCATGGTGGGCTAGTTGGGTGATAGCTGTCCAACTACATATAAATACCACAATAGTGAGCAGTGACCTCTTCCCTCCTTTTCAAGAGGTAACATTGAAACAGGCACTATACAAGGCTATCCCATAAGCTAGAAGCTCGATAGACGAAACTATTGACATAAGGAGATCCGGTCCCATTAAATTTCAAAGAAGCAAAAAGGTAAATAGTGACAAACAAATCCTAGAAAAAGCAAATGATTTTTTTATAGGTAATAGCAATGAGTGATTTTTATGCTACTTGATTAGGTACTTTATGATGTTACTGCGGCTGGAGAAGCAATTAAGTCTATCGACCTATTTGAAACTCTCAATGCAACAAGGTCTAGAAAGCAACCAGGCGCTGCCCCTACTAGCAGTCATAAACTATATGATTGCACCGATTAGAGTTTTAAACTTTTTAACCAATGGCACAAAATAAAACTAAACATGGTCTTAAAGTTTTTAACCAGTTGCACAAAATTTTAAATTAAACATGAATACCTCAAAAGTACAAGATTTTCTTATAATACCTTAACTAATCTTTTGTGCAATATCAGAAAATTACTTCGGAAAAGATAACAGTAGCAACTAATCAAGCAACGCCTCAATCCCAAAGTTGCGGTAGGCTATGTGAATCTAAATAACCATTTGGCTATATTGGTCCCTCCTTCTTTCAAGTAGGTAACATTGAAACGCGCTATGTACAATTCATGTAATCAAAAGATTTTAATAGCTTCTAGAGTACCATTAAAAAAAAAAAATTAGAAGTTAGTACATTAATCTGTTAACATAAGGAGATCTCACCCATTAAAATCTCAAAAGGCAAAAGAGGTAAATGGTGATTGGTGACAAATAAATCCTAGAAATAGCAACTAGTGATTTTTATTCTACTTGACTAGGTATTTTACAATGCTAGTGAAGCTGGAGAAGCAATACAACTGTCAACCTACTAGAAATCATACTGTGACAAAATCTACAAAAGTAATTAGGCATATGCAAGTATTCCTCTACTAGTGTTATGTAAACTGTTTGACCAAGACTACAAAAGTTAAACTAAAGCATGGATACCCCACAATACAAGTGTTATGGGACCCAATAGTGCGGCCTAGTGTCAATAAAGTGGGTTGAGAACTATGAGGTCTCAAGTTCAAATCTCAGCAGACGCAAAGACACTAGGTGATTTCTTCTCATTTGTCCAAGCCTTAGTGGACATAGTTTCTTGGGGCCTATTACTGGTGGGAGGTGGCAGATATCACGGAATTAGTCGAGGTGCATGCAAGCTGGCCCGGACATCACGGTTATTTAAAAAAAATACCACAAAGGTTAAATAAAGCATGGATACGTCATAATACAAGTTTTATAGTAGCATACAATTATTTTGTGCAAAACAACAACTACCATTACGCTTCAATTCCAAGCAAGTTGGGGTTGACTAGACGAATCCTCTCTGTCCATGTTGCTTCATTTAGGCTCATCTTAGTCAAACTAGTCTTAGCAGACGCGCATTGCGCGTGTCCCTCGTGTTAATGAAAATAAATTTCTAAAAACAACATTAAAAAAATTTAAAAAATGTATTTGCATTAAAATATAAAAACTAATAAGTTTCAAAATGATAAAATTAATTATATTTAGAAGTTTGATCTACTCTAGTGGTTTTTCGTTCAGCTTGTTCTTGTACTTGCTTCATTGTACAAAAAATAAAAATGGACAAAAAATTTGAGTATACTTCCAATTGTAGGTCTTTCTATTGTTCAAAGGAAAAAGAGCGTCCTAATTGCTCTTCAAAGTCTAAAATATTACCTACTCCCTACCTTAAATATGAATTATCATTTGTTCTTCCATATATTTATTATATCAAAATTGTGTTTTTCATACATTTTTTTAATGTGCTCTTTACTAGCATAAAAATTGCAGGATGAGTTAGTTGCTTTAATTTCATTAATTTACTCCTTTTTCACAGAATATACATCCATGAAAAGTAACATATAAGAAATATTATTATGCTACATATATAGTTCAAATAAAGAAAAAAGTTTATGTAAGGTAGAATTTTAATTGACTTTAAATTCTTAAATTTTAGGACTTCTTACCTAGTTCAAATAAGTAAATATTTAATAATCAAAATTTTAGTCGATTTCAAAGTACTAAATATTAGGATAATAATTAAATGACTATTTTGTCTAGTGCAAACTCTATTTTATAAGGGTAAAAAAGGCGAACAACATTTCGCTAAGGGCCTTCGTGTTTTTAATAGAGTAAGTATAGATGTTATATAACATAGAGTTTGATTAAAAAAAAAGTTTCTCTAGCACATATATCACCGGCAAAAGATTAAAAGACTCGTAGTAAAAATTGGATCTAAAGTAAACGTACTAACATGACTAAAACTTAAGTCCAACTAATTGGTATTGCCTAACAGATCTTTTCCTTCGATTGTGCCCTGTTTTAGAAAAGATAACAATGTCAACAATTATACATCGCCCCCAGAATCAGGGTCAACTATGAATTCTCACCATACCACTTTACTCAGACCAGTCCTCCCATATCATTAGAAAAGATAAATTAATCTTAAAAAAATTAAAACTTTAAACAGCACACTCATTTGGTCAATTTCAGATATGATCCAGTGTTGACTAGTCTCCATTCTCAGTTTAGATGCACATTACAATTCTCAAGTAAAGCAAGAGTAGTGTCTATTTGTCAACACTAAAATCCCAGTTTTAATAACAAGCCGCCATTTCTGCAACCACTGCAATAATTTTTTTTGGGAGCGCAGCTGTAATCCATAACATGGTATAAATTCTTAAGAGACTTAAAGTATGCAACAACATTTCCACCATTCTGCATGAGGAATATCAGGTGTCCTTTACTGCATGAGAGCCATTTCATAACTTGATAAATATGCATGAGGAAAATCAAGTGGAAGACATATTTATTCTAGACTTAGAGACTCTGGTTAGGAAAGCTCCTTCAAAAATATGCTCTATTTATGCAATTTAGTGAATTCCATCTGAGTTTGTTGAAAGCATTTTTTGGGACAGAGAATAGTGCTTCGCTTTTCTATAGGACCAAGTGGCTTATTCATTTCTTAGGCACTAGAGCTTTAGATGCTCTCAATGCATTCCTTCCACCTGGTTATCAAAAAAATAAATGCATTCCTTCCACCCATCTACATTTGGGTGGAATGTTGCATCTAATTTGTGTTTGATATTTACGGCAATACAGAGTACATAATGGGATTGATGATTTTTTTCCTTTCACAAATTGGTTTGTTCCATGTGTAGCTTGTCTTCGCAATTTTGCCTCAGATACGGTCATTATATCAAAGCAAAATCAGCAACTCTTCTAATGTCTCAAGTTGCTCATTACCCATTAGCCATTAGACATGAAAAACCCAGCTAATCTACATCACTAAAGATTAATTGGTACACCCACTACCTTGGACTAGGACTAAACACAACATGCACACGGGCACACACATCTATCCATCACATAAGCAATTGTGCACGTGCATCCTCTACCTCATAGTAGGACTCTATATACACAAAACACACACACACACTCTCTTATAGCCCGCCGCATACCGGCATTACCTACTTCTAAAATGTTCACAAAGTAGATGAATCTGCGGATAGTCATATAACAACTCAATCCAAAAGATTAAACAATTATCGAGATCAAAACATCTACACAAATTAAGCAATACAAAACGGTTAAAGTCTTACGCGGTGGTTTCTTGTCCACCTCCTTGAGTCCCAGTACTAACAAAAAACCCAGCAGGCTTCCCCGCAAGCTTCTGCTCCCTCCACAACTGTCCAGTAGAATCAAAAAACGCCTTCATTTGAGCCGCCATGGACCCATACCTAGTCGGAAACCCAAACAAGAACCCATCAGCACCAGCAAGCTCATCTGGCGAGGGTATTTCCGGAATTGAATCATCCTTCACTGGGGCCCGCATTTGAACGAGAACCTCTTCTGTTAGGGTTTCGGGAGCCCGATAAAGAACTGCTTCCACACCATCCACTGCTTCTACTCCTTTCTTCATTTTCCTTGCTAAGCTCTCCACGTGTCCGTACATGGAATAAAATATGATGAAGATTTTCAGGTTCTGGGTCTGGATCTTTTCAGGAAATGAGTCTCTGGCGGATTCAGTTGCTGAAACGGCGTCGTTTGTGGTAGAATCGGCCTCGACGGCGGGGATGGGGGGTGGCGGATTTTGGGAGGTGGATTTGGAAATCTTTTTCTTGCTGGGTACACAACCACCTCCTTTACCCATTATAGTATGAATTCAATTTTAGGAGTGTTGATTGGAGGGTTTTAATTAGGGTTTCAGTAGTGAGAGATTTGGATCGGAACTGATGGGCAGTGGCCGGCGGAGATGGGGGGATAGGACTTAGGAGTGATGATGATGATGAGCTGGCCGTGGACTTTGCTGGGAAATGCTACCAGAATGAAGAGCCGTCGTATTAAGTTTGACTTTTTGTTTCTTACTTTACTACTGATACTAGTCCTCCTCTTTTTTTTTTTTTTTAAATGGTTTAAAATACCCCTAAACTATTGGAAAAGGTTTAAAAATATGCTTCGGACTAAAAATATCTCTCCATTCACCTTTTTAGTTTACTTATACCATTTGACCGTTAGGTCAATGCTGAACTAAAAATAATAATTATTTAAATTCCACATGGCAACTTCTTATTGGCCAAAATTAAAACATTTAACCCATTAGAAAGACTCACACATATCTAACAATTATTCGTACTAACTCGCTACAAACACTAATTCGATCCGAACAAAAAGTTTAGCTAAAAAAAAAGGCCCCACTTCTATCAAACTCCATGTAACAAAAGCTCCACGGAAGTTGCAGTGCGAACATATAGACACAAATTTACTATGTGGTTTTCTTTTCTTGTTATGTCATCCAGTTCAATTTACATGATAGACACAAATTGCATCATATTCAAGATGAGTTTAATTTAATCATTTTCACATAACGAAAAGATCTCAAAGTGATTATTGGGAAGATATCATAAACTGTTGGACTATCCCTAGTTTTTCGTCCCGCATTATTGTCAAAAAAATCATTGGCTCGTTCATGCTAGGCTTTTCTTGTTTGTTCAATTTGTTCATGAACCTTTATTCGATGATAATACTATGCATGATATTAATCAAGTAAATTAACACATGTAAATCCATGGGTTAGATGGAAGTACTTGTCTTTTTATTACTTGAACTTTTTACTCGGGTCAGGTTAGTTTTTGGGGCGGGTTAATCCGAAAAATGGGTAGATATGGGTGGTTCTTTCAAATAGGTTAGATGTTTTAATTTCGACCAATAAAAAGTTGCCACATGAAATTTAAATAATTATTTTTTTAATTCAGCATTGAGCTAACGGCCAGAATTTTCAGGCGCTCTCCTGAACAATGGGTATTTAATTTCAAATTTAAATTTTACAAGCCCCCACCTCTAATACGAGTATTTTAGATTTCAAATGCTCCGATATCACTTCGGACCAATACGCAGTCTGGATTTCCTTCAATAATTCAAAGTGCTCTGATCACTTCAGACCGGTACACAATCCGGATTTCCTTCAATAATTCAAAGTGCTCTGACCACTTCGGACGGGTACACAATCCGGATTTCCTTCAAAAAACAAAGTGTTTTGATCACTTCGGACTGGAATCTAGACCGGATCCCTATCGAATTAGAGTTCCAACAAACAGAAGCATAGTCCACACTTCGTCAACTCTACTGATCAAAGATGTGACACAATGTGGAATTATTTTCTAGCAAATAAACTGGGCTGTAACGACCCGACCGGTCGTTTTGCTAGCGCGTCGTTTAGCAGTTTGAGGCCATGAGCAGCTTCACATAAGGTATTAGGACTCGTACGCGTGGTCAAAATTGATTTTCGGGAAGTTCGGGGTTGATTTGGAAAGAAAATTCTCATTTCGAAAGCTTCAAGTTGGCAGAATTGACCAAGATTGGATTTTTGAGTGAACAACCTCGGAATCAGGATTTGAAGGTTCCAACAGGTTTGTATGATAATTTTGGACTTGGGCGTATGTCCGGATCGGGTTTTGGATGACCCGGGAGCGTTTCGGCGCCTATTGTGTAAGTTAGCATTTTGGAACAATTTCATAAGTTTGGGTTGAAGTGCATTTCAGTGTTATCGATGTCCGTTCGGGATTCCGAGTCTGGGAATAGCTCCGTATGGTGATTCTGGTATTGGGAGCGTGATCGGAAGTGGATTTGAAAGTCCGTAGGTCATTTTGGAGTCATTTGGCAAAAGTTAGAAATTTAAAGTTTGACCGGAAGTGGATTTTTTTATATCAGGGTCGAATTTCAATTCCGGAAGTTGGAGTAGGTCCGTAATGTCGAATATTACTTGTGTGCAAAATTTGAGGTCAATCGGATGTGATTTGATAGGTTTTGGCATCGAATGAAGAAGTTCGAAGTTCTAAAGTTCATCAAGTTTGAAATGGAGTGTGATTTGTGATTTTAACGTTGTTTGATGTGATTTGAGGCATCGAGCAGGTCCGCATTATGGTTTGAGACTGGTTGGTATGATTGGTCGGGGTCCCGAGGCCTCGGGTGAATTACGGATGGTTAACGGATCAAATTTGGAATTTGAAGAAGGAATGAAGCAGCTACCTTCTGGTGTAACCGCACCTGCGAGGCTTGGGCCGCAGGTGCGGAGCCGCAGAAGCGGTCTTGGTGTCGCAGAAGCGGATATGAACTGGGCTAGGCTGGGGCCGCAGGTGCAATGCAGCTCCCGTAGAAGCGAGACCGCAGGAGCGGTCCGAGCTCCGCAGAAGCGGACGCGGTCAAGTTTAGCTGAGACCGCACCTGCAATGGAAATTTCCGCAGGTGCGAGAGGTCGGGCTGGGGAGTGTGTTCTTTAAAAACGAGTTTTGGCTCATTTTCCACGTATTTTCACTTTGGTTGGACGATTTTGGAGCCTTTGAAGAGAGGGATTTCATCATCAATCATGAGGTAAGTTAACCCCACCTCTTGTAAGTTAAATACATGGTTTTATTGCGGATTAAAGTATGGAAAGTAGTAAAAATTTGGGATTTTGAGGAAAAACCTAGAAATCGATATTCTTGAATTTTGACCACGATTTTGGGCATGAAGTTGAGAGTAAATTATATATTTGAGTCCGTGAGGTTATGGGTAAACTTTATCTTCGAAAAATTTCGGAATGCGGGCACGTGGGGCCGAGGCGATTTTGTCTACTTTTCGAGCGGAGTTGGGAATTTATCTAAATTGAATTGTTGTGAGTATTAGAACATGCATTTATGGATTTCTCATTTATTGACTAGTCTTGGGAGCATTGAGCATTGATTTGAGTTGATTGAAGGGCTTGGAAGCCGGTTATGGAACTTCGGAGCGAGGTAAGTCTGATTTCTAACCTTGTAAGAGGTAATTAACCCCATAGGTGAACTAAATTATTATGTGCTTTTATTTGTGGGGAAGCTACGTACGCACGATGTGACGAGAGTCCGTACGTAGTGTCACGCCCCAAAACCGAGGGGCGCGACCGGCGGCTGACCCGACTGAGCAAGCCTATTAGGTTTCATTCTACCCAAAATTAATTCATGCATAACAAGGAGATGAACTACATAAATCCTACTTCATGAGCATTATATTAACAATTTTTATCTTTGTCTTTCGTTAACAATTCAACCATGCTAACCAAATTATTACAATTAATAGATACAAAGGTAACATTCTGCCGAATAACAACATATCTAGTTCAATTTTTTAATACCCGACACCACCCACAACCTGTCTACGGAGCCTCTAAATACAACTGAAGAGTAATATGGAAATGCCGGCAACAAGGCTCCGGCTATACCTTAAAATACAAAGTACATGATAAACAACGATACAGGATCCCGAAATGAAGTGGGGCTTACCAAGTCCGCTGAAAGGAAGATGCATCACTAGCTGCGACCAACACTGCCTGCTATGGAAACACCTACATCCATTTAAAGATGTAGCGCCCCTGGCAAAAGGGACGTTAGTGCCGTCGAATAGCACTAGCATGTATAACTAAACACCATCTCATTAGAAAGAACAACCATGCAAGAACAAAGAAATCATAAGGATTCAACAAAAGCTTTACACAATCACTACATCATCAAATAAAAGGAATTACACAGCTTTCACATAATTTGCAAGGCTTTAGTTTGGGACATTTAATACTGTTCATCATCATTCACAATACCACCGCTTTCGCGGAGTCCGATCACGGCCTGATCGGCTAAGCTGCCTCATTTGAGACATATACCTCAATCACTATTCCATTGTCACTTCCCGGGTTCAATATCAACACATTACCACCATGTGTGTAGCATGGCATCCGATCACGGCCCGATCGGCTAAGCCGCCTTACCAAGGCGTTACCTCAATCACAATTTCATCCTCACTTTCCGCTTTCAATATCAGCACAATACCACCATGTGTGTAGCATGGCATCCGATCACGGCCCGATCGGCTAAGCCGTCTTACCAAGACGTTACCCTTTTCCATTAATCATCTCACTTCAATTTTTGTTTCACATATATTAGTTCATAGGCACTTAGGGCCACAATTTCCACATCATGTCCACTTTCAATACAAACATTGCAATTTAGGATAACAGGTACAAATAGGAGCAATTCAAGTGTAAACATAGATAAGATTTCACATAGTTGGCATAACAATCTCAATTTAAATCCTGACATTGAGGTCTAGGCATTCCAACACATGGTTTATATTCTTCACACATCTTTAAATTAGCAAGAATAGTATATTAACATATTGAGGCACCCCTATCACGTATACACAGTTGCAAAACCAATTCATGTGAAATAACAATCAATTCATCAATCCAATTTCAGTCTTACCACATTTGCATATACACCAACGGAGCTCGATTTCTAATAAAAGGGGATTTTAGCCATACATACCTCAAAGAGCTTCCCCTTAAGTTTCTACAATACACCAACACCTCTAGCAATAACAATCTATAAGGAGATAGCGGAAATCGATTAATAATTAGGAAGATTACCCATGGTGTAACACTCTTAGGAATTTCATTAAACACCTAATATGTGAAGTAGACTACAAGGTTTAGAAATGGCAATTCCTTCCTCCCTCAACCAATTTTAACATGAACTACCCATATTAGTTCTTTAACATCACCTACTACAACTTAGTTCCACATGCATGACCTATTTCTAACCCCCACAACATATTTGAACCTTTAACCTCTTGCATGAAATTTTGGGAGTAGGACTTACCCGGATGGAGGACAATCTGTGGTTATCTTCCTTGATTCTTGAAGACTTGAGCAAGATTTGGATAATTATGAAGCTAGGCCCTTCCTTTCTCTCTCTATATGCTCTCATCTCTCTCTCTAAAATCAGTAGAAAATGACCCCAAATGAAGCCCCTCAACCTATTTATGAAAATGGGGTCTGGTTATAAAAATAGGAAGATTAACCCTCCGA